CCGGAAAGACATTTTGGCATCTGGATCATTAGAAAGAGGATACAATCTGCTATACAACTAACCTAAATAGGAAATTAGGGAAGGAATTATAAAACTTGTAAGACAATTCTAAAATTGAAGGTCTTGTATCTCAGTCTTTAATTGCATATCTCACAAAAATATTTAGTTAATCTTAAATCAAATATTTATGCAAATATTTTAAATTATAAATCTTGCATTTCAAACTGAGTGAGAGTCCTTTAGCCCAGGGGCTTGATACTCAAATTGTAGTGAGAAGACCAGCAGTGCAGTGTAGGCACTCCTTGGCACCTTGTGCACCTAATGCTGAATTCAGGCCCCACCCCAAACAGCTGAATCAGGTGATTTATATGCACACTCAGGTTTGAGAGGCATTGGTTTAAGAGCAGGGTAGTAGACCAGATGTTTAGAATGTACATGTTTTCACCTGATGGTCACAGGTGAGCTCCTAGGAGATAAAMGGAAAGTTGTTAGTCCTGTTCAGAGCCGGCTCTTTTTCCCTGCAAYAGCAGCCCAATTTCTAGTGCTGTCTTTTCCTCATCACCTTACTGATCACTGTAGTCTACCCACAACTGCTGATATAGCTACACACAGCCCAGACAACTATATAATTTTCTGAAGTGGGAAAACAATGATGATATGATTATCCTCTTGGCTTTGAGTCRGATTAAGGTAGACAGGAAGGAGGAGGGTTGGTGTGAAACCCCGAGTAATGGAGGAGTCGGTTGTTCTCCCATTTGCCTACTTCTGATTGTAGGCAATAAATAAATAAAATAAAATAWCAAAATAAAAAGCAGCCTATGGCAATGTATATCCTTAGAAGTGCTCAGAAGTAAGCTCACGCTCAGGATTATGTTCAGGTTAGTAGTTCAGGAAATTTAAACTCAAACTCAATTGGTTTTAAATTCAGTTTAACCAATGAAACTTGATGACATGCCATCAAGTTATCTAAAAGAAAACAGAGACTGCATCATGAAGAGTTGAGGTCATGGTTGGTACAGCTAAAATATCAACAACTTGGAAAGGGATTTTTTTAAAAAGGAAAGATAAAATTAAGAAAAAAATGCCATGATTTTATTCTCTTTTATTGCTGAGTAAAATTCCATTGTGTATATATGCCACATTTTTTAATCCATTAATCTACTGAAGGGCAACTAGGTTGGCTACACAGTTTAGCTGTTGTGAATTGTGTTGCTATAAACATTGATGTGGCTGTGACCCTGTAGTGTGCTGTTTTTAAGTCCTTGGGTATAGACTGAGGAGAGGGATAGCTGGGTCAAATGGTGGTCCCATTCCCAGATTTCCAAGGAATCTCCATACCGCTTTCCATATTGGCTACACCAATTTGCAGTCCCACAGCAGTGTATGAGTGTGCCTTTTCCCCTACATTCTCACCAACACTTATTGTTGTTTGTCTTCATAATAGCTGCCTTTCTGACTGGAGTGAGATGATATCTTAGAGTAGTTTTGATTTGCATTTCTCTAATTGCTAGAGATGATAAACATTTTTTTCATGTATTTGTTAATTGATTGTATAACAGACACTGAGAAGTGTCTGTTCATGTCCTTGGCCTATTTATTGATTGCATTATTTGTTTTTTTGGTGCTTAGTTTTTTGAGTTCTTTATATACCCTAGAGATTAGTGCTCTAAAAGAAAATGAAATCATGGCATTTGCAGGTAAATGGATGGCATTGAAGAAAACAATGTTAAGTGAAGTTAGCCAATCCCAAAAAAACAAATGCCGAATGTTTTCTCTGATATAAGGTGACTGACCCATAATGGGATAGGGAGGGGGAGGGATAGAGGAACTCTAGATWGGGCAGAGGGGTGAGAGGGGAAGGGAGGGAGCAGGAGGTTAGCAATGATGGTGGAATGTGAAAGACACCATTATCCAAAGTACATGTATGAAGACATGAATTGGTGTGAACATACTTTATATACAACCAGAGATATGAAACATTGTACTCTATATGTGTAATAAGAATTCTAATGCATTCTGCTGTCATGTATTTAAAAAATAAAATCAATTAAATATTTGAAAAAATGGAGTTCTTAGATTTGCTTATTTACTGCATAATCTAGTGATTGGTATGAATCTCTTTATTTTCTAATTTGGTTTCCACTGTCAATATTTTCATCTTAAAAGAATGTGTATTCATTGAGCTCAGTGCAGGGTAAATTCTACTCTTTATTATTTGTGGAAAGATTAAGAAAAAAATAATCTCATACATTTGAAAATATGGTACAAATTAGATAAGGGGAAAAGATTTAGATTCTTTGTCAGTCTCTAACATTTTTAAACACTAGTTGTTAATAGTCAGAAATCAAGTACTATACTCAGAAATTAATCCAGATGAAATCCTCAACCTTTTCAAATAAAATACATTAATATTATAAATAATTCCTATATCTCAGTCAAAAGATTATAAAAGAAGGCAGTATTTGAGCTGAATTTCTTCTTTTATTATTTATTTATCTTTTAGAGTAAAGAGTTAAGTCAGATAAGAACTATTTTTTGGAAGGAGTTTTTATAAAATGATATAAAACTGGATCTGAAATGAACATAAGTAATACAAATATTTGTAACTTCCTATTTAAGTCACTATRAATGTATAGTAGTATCAGTCTTAAGTAAACTTGAGTCTGTTAATCTTGCCATTAAGTCAAATCTAACTTAGGTCTTTACAAACAAGCACTAGCTGTTACAATAAGTATCTCTGGTGTCTATCCAATCTTTTTTTTTTTAAGAGCCTTTTTAAAGGTCTGTAAAAGTCTTTCCCAAGTTGTCCTTCTTTACATTTTTCTTTAAATAAAGAAGGACATTTATTCCACAATGACTTTTTATTGTCCCACTGTTCTAGATCRGGTACAGACATGAGGACAGAAGACCAAGTGTCTGTTCTCATGAAAAAGGAGATGATACACATTTTAAGCAGGAGAGAATGGCAAACAAATGTTCTGAAACCACTATTCCATATTGTGATATGTGCTCTAAAGAAAAGGCAGGTGTGGGGGACAGGCGATACCTTCAGAGTGCCTGGAACTCAGAGCCCTATCAACAGCTCTTGGTTTCTTTTCTCTCCTTATGATTTCTCTCAACCCTTTCACCTAGTCATGTAGGCACCCTGCTCATAACTGCTTCTGCAGAGGCACTGAGAACTAGCACGACTAGCATGGAGTCTAACACCCCTCACACACTAGAGGGAGAAGCCAACACTGACTAAAAGCTTCTCTCTTGAGAAAATAGTACAGTGCCTCAGGAAATAAGTGAGAGAGATACTGCAATAGGCTTTAGCGAACATTCATAATTTGGAAATAAGGGCAGGTTACATGAAAGAGAAGAGCCCCAAACTATACCAGGAGAATACTAATTAAAAGAGAAATGGAAAGCTAGCACCCCTAGATTCATATGAAACGAAATAGAYTCTCAAAACAAACTAACAAAATCTTGAAAAGAGATGACATTCTCAAATTACTATGGGATTGAGATAATTTTTTAAAAAACAAGAATGAAAAGCCACACATTTGTAAGTTTTAAACATTATTAAACAACTCATGGGTCGAAGAAGAAAGTAAAAATGTTCATAGGATATACCTAAAGCAGTATGTAGTGTTAAGTTTAAAAARGAGGAAAAATTGAGAATATGTAAGTCAAAGCTTCAACTTCTGTTAGAAAAGAAACAATGAGAAAAAAAAAGAGAGAATAAATACTTACTGGCATAAAAACAGACTCATAAACCAACAGAACAGAATAGAGAGCTTAGAAGCAAACCCACACATGGAAGGCCAACTGATTTTCAATAGGGAAGCTGAGCACACACACAGGGTGGAAATGAGAGTCTCTACAACACATGGTGGTGGGAAAACTAGATATTCTCATGCAAGAGTGAAACTGACCCATATTTTACACCAAAACCAAAAGTCAATTCACAGAGGATTAAGATTTAAATGTAAGAACCCAAACTATAAAATTCCTGGAAGAAAATATAGGGGAAAAACTTAGTGATGTTGATCTTGACAATGATTTCTTAGATATGACAYCCAAAGTACAAGCAATACTGACACAGACAGACTAGTGAGACTAAATCAAACTGAAATGCTTCATAGCAATGGGAAAAACCACAGGTGGAAAGGTAACTTACGCTCTCCAACCTCTCCCGCTCCCAACCCAGGGGTCCTGGGGGCTATCACTCTATTCTCTGCTTCTATGAGTTTAACCTTTCTGTAGTCTACATTCAGGTGAGATCCTGTGGTGTTTTTGTGCCTAGATTATTTCCCTTAAAATAATATGCTCTGTGTTCATTCATGTTGTCCCATTGTGTGTATATCACATTTTCTTTATTCACCCAAAGATAACTTGGATATGGTGAAAAATGCTGCAAAGAACATAGGAATGCAGATATCCCTTTAACATACAATTTCATTTCTTATGTGCACACAGTGGTGGTGTTGCTGGATCACATAGTAGTTTGTTTTTACTTTTCTGAGGAATCTCACTACTATTTTCCATGACTATACTCATTTGTATTAACCTTTTGCCTTTTTGCTAATAGTCAACCTAACAGGTGTGAGATGATAGCTCCTTGTAGTTATGATTTGCATCTCCCTCATGATTAGTCATGTTGAGCATTTTTTTCCTATACTAGTTGGTCATTTATAAGTCTTCTTTGGAAAGACGTCTATTAGGTCCTTTTGCTCACTTTTAAATTGAGTTATTTGTTTTCTTGTTGTGAAGTGCAGGAGTTCCTTGTGTATTTCAGATACTAAACCTTTACCAGATATATAGTTTGCAAATACAGACTCATTTTATGCCATTGCTGTAGCTGTCCAAAGACAGAATCAGCTTGATCGGGGATGAGGACCTGAAATCCGAGGTATAGGGTCGGCCACCTTCCTGAGTTTGGGGCACCTGGAGCAGGGACTACCTGGCTCTGCTTGGTGCTGGTCCACCCTACCAGGTCTCACAGCCAGGACCTGCTGTCATGGTTCCCTTCCACCTCTACCCCTCCTCTTGGTCTCTGGGTCCTGCTGCAGGATGCAGTAGGGTTGCACAAGGTGGGAGTGGCCCAGTTTCTTGGCTCCTGCAGCAAGGATGCCCTCTCCCTTCCCCTTCTCCCCTTTCACTTCTGCATCTCCTTTTCTGACAGATGCTGCAGCAGTGACGCCAGCGTCCACAGAGGTTGCCTCCAGCTCCAGGCCTGGAACTCCTGCAGTTTCTCTAGAACCTCCCCATGCAGCCCGGAGCCTCTGGCTGAGTTCTCTGGCATCTTCCTGGTTGTTCTGTTCCTCATCTCCCACTCTTGCACTCCTTCTCCCCCATTAGCAGCTTCTGGGCCTTCAAGTGACAGGCATTCATTCCATGGTATACTCTGTGTTCTGGAGATCAGTCTTGCAGGTGGCCCCCACCAGGAAGTGGGGGTGCTTCATGAAGATRGGCAGGCTCAGGTCGACCTTGCTGTGCACCTTCTCTGTGCCCATCTTGAGCTTCTTGCCTGTGTAAAGATCGTCCTATCTTGTACTTCATGAAGAAGGGGGTCATCAGCCACATCACGTGCTGCTGATCTTTGGGCACTTGAGAGAGACACTGGTTGGGTCAAAGTATTTATTTAAAACTTTCTGCTGTACCCTCTGTGCCCTCTACTTTTCTCRTAAGCAATGGGACACTGCTTGTCTCAGTGTTTACTAAGCTTCCTCCACTGTCCTCTGATGCAGTACTTCTTAAACCAAGAAAAGATTCTCAGCACATCAAAGATGATGCCATCTGGGGCACACATTGGGAAGCAGGGCTGTGGGGAGAAGCCGTGGTGGTCAAAGGTGAGTGGGGTGTGGGACTTCTGCCTTCTCACACCTCAGAAGTGGGCACATTCAGCCCATGGGACGCACCTCTCATCCTTCTAGTGCTGCCCCTTCCCCATGGCTGCCGTGGGACCGACCTGATGGGACRACGCAGGCAGTGGGCTGGTCAGCTGGAGCAGGATGCCTAGGTCAAGCTTTCCGCTGATTCTAGGACCAGTGTCCTGCTCTAAGAGGACATTGGTTTTCAATGAAAAGATCTGAGCCTCAGCATTTCCACTTGCTCTGTGAGCCTAGGTACATTCTTTGTCCTGAGTACTCTTTCTTTGCAAAGGAGAACTTCCATCTCTCCCTCCGGATTGAAACTGGCCCCTCCASGACRTGCTCCCTGCTAGGTAACTRAAGGACTTTGGACTTTGATTMTATCTGCCAAATCCCTCCACCTAAACTAGTGTTTGATTGGCTCATTGGGAGAGGGTGTGCCTGACTTKAATTAGAGCAGGGATTTGGAAGGATTCTGGACCCTGCAGCATCAACTGCAAAACAAGGGTTTGTCAGTTTCCATGCATACCACGATTTCTGAATTGCTTTCCACCTCACTGAGTTTCCAGTCAAACATGAAGTGCTGAACTTCAAGCCACCTTATAACTTCCTGTGCAATTAGTAGAATTTTCTTCATTCTGCAGWTGAAATCACTCAGGTATTAGGGATTTTACCCATGGACAACAACAGTAAGAGCATCTTCATGGCCACCTTGCTTGTATTGTCTTTGGTATTCAAATCAAGCCTGCTAATGGGGGTTTAYTGGCCCAGTGAGATTATCTTGTGASGGAAGGGACTCTTAGCCCAGTTAAGAGACTATGACACTCAGCTCTTAGCTGACATGCCTGCACTTAGCCTGTGGGTGACTGACGCCTGGGTGGATTATGCTTCCATCAGGACCTATCTRTATCTCTCTGCCTGGGACTGAACACTCAAGTAAAAAGTTCTGAACTGACCCTGCCTCTAGCTGACRAGAATGTCCATTTGTGCCCCAGCAGTGAGATAGTAGAACCTCTTGTTACCCATCAGCCAATGAGCTCTCACAAAGCTTGTATTTTCCACAGGAAAACAATATAATACAAAGGACTTCAATCTTAATTATTTTCGTCATCGTAAGGAAAGTGAAAATAAAGTGAGAGGTCTGTGAATGTGTGTGTGTGTGTTTGTTTGCGTGTGTGTATAATTGACAATAAATGTTCAACAGGAAAAGACAGAAAAGGCAATTTACAGGAATGGGAAAAATATTTCCAAGCTATGGGTCCAACAGTTAATGGTTAAGGAACTCCTACAAATGTAGGGTTAAGAAACTCCTCCATCTTAACAGCAGAAACAAAATAACCCCATTATAAAGTGGGCAAGGGACTTGCATAGACATTTCTCCCAGAAATGGTGGCTGCCACAGGCTGAGGGAGTGGGAATTAGGGAACTGATGTTCAATGGGTGTCRAGTTTAGTTATGGAAGATAAATGAGCTCCAGAGATGGGCAGTTGGACAKTGTGCCTAGTTAACAACAGWGCACTGTGCACTTAAAAATTTGGTAAGAGAGTAGATTTTGTGTTAAATGTTCTTATAATAATTTWWAAAAAAGAAGAAATTAAACAATAAAGAGCAGAAGTTTATAAATAGAAAACAGACAATAGGGAGTAATAATAGCAAAGCTTAAAGACAACTCTGAAAGAACTAATAGACAAATCTCTTAAAATACMACTCATATAAAAATAAATATCATTAATATACAATATTATTAAAATAGAAGACAGTGAGATAGTATTATCATGGACCATGGAAACTGCTGTATTTGTAAAATAAATAAAGGTCAAATGATGGYAATGTCTTGTGGCTTAATCTAACAAAAGTTATATCWCACAAAATGGATGTTAATAAATTTGAAAACATGGATAAAAGATTAAATTCACAGAACTAAGACTCTAGAAAAAGTAGAATACCTTAATAATTCTATAAAAGTAATTGAATTTGAATGTATTGCACTCCACTATTGTCATGTATGTAAGAAATAAATTTAAAAAGAAAGAAAAAAAATAAAAACTAGAACAAAAAAAGTAATTGAACCAATAATTTAGATTATTACCACAAAGAAAAACATCAAGGCCAGAAGATTTTTATGCTTTCTTTCAATCAACATTCAGAGACAAGTAACTCCACATTCACAAGAGACGTACAGACAGAACACCCTTCAAGTTATTTTATGAAACTAGTATAACCTTGACCCAAACTGACAAGGAAAGTGTAAGAAATCATAATTCCCAGCTGTTCTTATATGTAAACATGAATATAAAAATGCTAGATAAAATCTTAATAAACCRAATTCACAAATGTACAAATTGAAAATATTTCCAAAATGTGAGTTTGATATCACAAAACTAACAAATCAAAGGAGAAAACCAAAGGATCATATAATTCAAGCAAAAAAAGAAATTTGAAAAAATCACACACTTATTCATGGTTTTTGAAATCCCATAAACTAGGATTAGGAGGGGGTTGCATTACTCTGATAAAGAGTATTTAAAGAGGGCTGGGGTTGTAGCTTAGTGGTAGAGCGCCTGCCTTGCACACGTGAGGCACCAGGTTCAATCCTCAGCACCACATTAAAATAAACAAATAAAAATAGTTATTGTCTCCATCTACAACTAAAAAAATATTTCTTTTAAAAGAAGATTATTTAAAGATCTACAGTGAACATTGTACTTAATGGTAAAACTTTGAAAGTTCTTTGAGACTGGAATGGGGGTAAGAATATCAGACTTCACCACTTTTTCTCAATACTCAATCGGAATGTATAATGAGATGACAACAATGAGATAAAAGGCATAGGAATGAAAAGGAAAACACAAATTGTCATTGTTCACAAATCATTTTCTTATGGATTTACAAACCCCAAAAGATGTATTTCAGCCTTTATATGTAAGAAATCTGACCTGGGGGTATAGCTCAGTGGTAGAGTGTGTGTGCTTAGCAAACATGAGGCCTTGGGTTTGATTCCCAGYAATCCCCTCAATAAAAGAATCTGACCAGATAATATTTAGATAGTACTACATTTTAATTCCACTGGATACGTCCCATAAAATTTTAAGAGGTTTTACATTTTTCCAGAATATTATAGTTGAGTCTTTTGAGAAAAGTGTATATCCTTACAGATTGCAGGATCAGAGAACTTGAGTGGTCTAGATTGGARAGAAAGAAGGGAATCTGGACCACCCAAATCTTTAACAGACCTGGGTACAAGGCAGGCTCCAGTATAGAAGGTGGAATACCAATGTGCTGAATCTGAAAGGACTAYTGGGAAGTCAGTCTGTCTGCATATTGAGTACCAAAATCAGAATAGACCTTCTAATCACTAGAAGTAACAGGCTACAAATTGGAAGCCATGGCTGAAATTTCTAGGCTTGACCAGGATTAAAGAAAAGTAAGCAAATAAATAAGAGGTTAGTTGGAAATGACAGGGTTTGGCATCATCATAATCCTGGGGACATAAAGCTAATGTGTAAACGGGTGCTGTGGTGTGGCTGCAGTCTGATTGTGTCCCTCAGGAGTTCGTGTGCTGAATGCTTGGTCTTCAGTGAGGTGATGTTGGGGGGGTGGTAGAACCATTAAGAGGTGGGGTATAATGCAAGGTGTTAGGTCACTGAGGGCACTGCTCTCAGAAGGAATTGATAGACTTCCTTGTGGAATCGCAGTAAATTCCCCTGAGACTACTATAAAAGAGCAAGCTAGGGCTGGGGATGTGGCTCAAGCAGTAGCACGCTCGCCTGGCATGCGTGCGGCCCGGGTTTGATCCTCAGCACCACATACCAACAAAGATGTTGTGTCCACCGATAACTAAAAAATGAATATTANATGAATATTAAAAAAATTCTCTCTCTCTCTCAAAAAAAAAAAAAAAAAAAAGAGCAAGTCAAGCCCCTCTCCACTCGATGGCTCCCTGACTCACCTGGGGTCTCTCTCTTTCAGATGTACATAGGCCATGATGCCATCTACTACGTGACACAGCCAAGGGGGCTCTCACCATAGCTGAGTCGATATCGGTGCCATGCTCTCGAACCTCCAAAACTGTGAGCTAATAAACCTCCTTTGTGTACTAATTACTTAGTCCTAGGAATTTTGTAATAGCAACAGAAAATGGATGAATACAGTGGGGCTGTGAACAAGTAACCACATGGTGTTATACAGAAGAGGATTTGCCAAGGCCACTGGCCCTTGGTTAAATGGCCTAACTCCCAGAGGCAGGGCCAGCCCCCAAGTGCTTTAGGTCAGCTTGTTATCTGCCCTGCTTATCCTGATTTCTCCAAACATAAAATTGGGACAGTGGGATTTGCCATTTCTGCGTGGCCAAGGCCTGTGGTGAGGATCAATTAGTGTTTTTAAAGTGCTGTGGGTTTGGTTCCGTTTATTTATTTTCTTGGGTTGACAGGCAGGCGGCCAGCGTGGAGTGTTAACAGTGAAGGTTTGATGTGTGTTCCTGAGAYGGCTGTGTGAAGGCTACGAGGCCGGGGACTGCCCTCTGCTTCAAAAGGCCACAGTTCCAATTAAGTGTTAGTGTTCCCTAAAGCTGAAGAGGCRGCCTGGAAGTCTCTGAAAATTAAAAAGGAGAAAAGTTATCTGTGTTTGGGCTCTGTRATTGAGGGCAGGTGGTGACCCA